CCACACACACACACCCATTAGAACCTCATAAACATAAAAACAATTTTTTTTTAGCAATCATAAGTTTAACAATATAAAAACATATATTAAACTTACAGTCTAGTTTCTGCGGATAAGGTCAACAGGTCTGTGTATCAACGTTAGGATAAATTTTTTCAAAATAAAAGCAGCAAAGCTAACTATTGCTCGTCATCGTATCTTGAGATCCAAAGGTACACTTGAACATAAAATCTTAGAGCATTTTTTATTGTGTTGACAAACTCATAACTCCTTCAGCTGAATCACGTGTTTGCTTCTCTAATGTTCGTTTAAGGTGGAGCTGAGAAAGACCCAGGGCGAGCTCAGACAGATTCTTCAGGACCAGGAGAAGTTTGAGAACATGGAGAACATGTTTAAACAGATCAGGGTAAGGCAATGGTAACACTAATCTATTACGGTCCAAATGTTCTCTGATCCTCTGCTGGGTCTGAAACAGGGGGAGGCCAGAGAAACCGAGGACCACTGTGAAAGTGTGCTAGTCCGAGTCACCGAGTGCCTTCAGCAACATTACCTGTCAGTGAGGAAGATGATTGCAGCTCAGGCTGAGGAAGCCAAGGCTCGGGTTCCTACCCTCAAGACCAAGATGGAGGAGATGAAGAGGATGGATGCTGAGCTGGACCACTTGGCACAAAGTGAAAACAGTGTGCAGTTTCTGCAGGTATTACATTTACTTCACCAGACTCTTGATACTCCTTGGTGACTGATCATCTCCTCATGGATCTATCTTGTTTCCTCCRACAGAAATGGCCCAAAGTGAGGAGCCGTTGTGGAGACCTCCTCCAGTTTTTCAACGAGGATCCACTTTCCCCATTTGAGGTCACCCAGAGAGCCATTGAAAAACTCGGGAGGCAACTGGAGGAATTCTGTGACAAACAATTTGCTTCTATATTTACCGTTTGTATGTGTGTTTACTGACATATTGAGCTGTCTGAATATTGTATGTTTTTTTTAATGTGGGCTTTTATTTTGCAAAGCTGACGATGAAGACGAGGAGAAATCAGATGTAAAAACAGATGAAGAAGAAAGATGTGAAGCCAGCATCTTAAAGTCCCATGGTTTGTACCTGAAACTTTAATTCTTGTGTTTTTGTAAAAACATTTTAACATTCTAACCACAAGAGACAGAAGAAAAACTTCAGTACTTCAGAAAGTAAAACAGATGGAGACGAGCAATTCTGGAG